ATCAAAACTGGAGCAGACAAAATCTGGAGCAGTCACACATGGCAACCATTCAGCTTCTCTCGTCTATTTGTTCAGTTAAGAGAGAATCTGATTGGTTACTGTGGGCAACTGCTGCAGATTTTGTCTGCTCCAATTTTGATAAATTCGCCTCACTGTATAGACGTGAGGGCGTTGAGACAGATTCCAATGCTGCAGGGAGGGGGAAGCAGGCTGGAGGGAGCACTGTGACAGCAGGCCAACTCGGAATTCGGGTGAGTATATCTTTGTTATTTTAGCACCTAGACACAAACAAGCACTTAACCCTTGCAATGCAGGGGTATCCCCACTGCAAGGGTTAATTAAAAAAAAAAAAAACTTCCTGGAGTTCTTCTTGGTTGCCATGGACAACTGCTCCAGCTTCTGTCTTCTCCAGTTTTAATTAATTAAAATATTATTGTTACTTGTAAGGTGTGTAAGGGCGTTACTAGACCCTGGCACAGGTCTTTAAGGGCCCGTTCCCACCGGGGCGGTTCGGCCTTTCGGATCCGCCAACATGAACGATCCCATACATTGCTTGGAAACCGCACTGATCCGCATCCGTCCTGGTGTGAATGGGCTCTTACTGAGTGCCCCAGGTGTCCTTTACCATCCTCCCTAATGAGATCCATTCATTGTGGTCATCCACTAGTAACTGCATTTCTCTCTCACAATTCTGTTGGAGAGATAATAATAGACTAGGGGGTAGGCAAGCTCAGCACTCCAGCTGTTGTGGAACTACCAGTCCCATGAGGCACAGCACAACTCAGAGCGCCACAGGCATTACTTGCAGGGGCATGATGGGATTTGTAGTTCTGCCACAGCTGGAGGGCCGACATTGCCTACGTCTGTTAAAGAACCTTTAATTAAGTACATTTACCTGAACCCCACAATGCATATTACGAAACAATATTAGACTATTGATTAACAATGATACTGTATATAGCAGGGGTAGGTTAACCTCGCACTTCAGCCATTGTGGAACTACAAATCCCATGAGGTATTGTATGACTCCCAGATATGACTCCCAGAAGCATGATGAGATTTGTAGTGTCAGCTGGATTGTTGAGGTTGTCTACCTCTGATATACACTGAGTGACCAGATTATTATGACCACCTGACGTATGTAGGCAAATTAGCTATAATTTTGCGCTGAAGTTGCTAGAGGGTCAGACCATTATAAATAGGGAAGCAGGTTGTTTACCACGACAGTAGAAGTGACTTTTTTCTGAAGATACGGGGAAACAACGCGATTTAACAGCCTTTGAACGTGGGATGATTGTTGGCGCTCGGAGCCATGGAGCGAGTATCAGCAAAACAGCAGAATTTGTTCAATGTTCAAGAGCAGCTGTTGTTAAAGTGTTTAAAGACTGGACTGTCGGCCGAAAATCTGGGTCTGAACGTGCGAATTGTGGCCGTCAGCGACTAGTCAATGTTAGGTAGGAAAGGAGACTGGCAAGACTGGTACAAGACAACAGAAGGGCAACAGTGCAGTGTCAGATTCCTCGCATCACCTTTCATCATCTCGTGGAGTCTCGAGGCGGCCCAACAAAGTACTGATGGGGTGGTCATAATAATCTGGCCAATCAGTGTATAGTATATGGAACATTATCTATGGACCTTCTGATTCATTTATTCCTTCCTTTATGTTCAGGAAAGAGAAACAATGTCATGCATTTCTTTTTTTATCATGGTATACTACAAAAGCTTCAACATTTTAGTCTAGGTGCCCCAAGTCTTTTAGAAGCCTGATGGCGGGCATTAGGGCCTGTTCACATGAGTTTCAGGTCCGGATCTGCAGACCCGGTGCTACTGATGCAGTGCGTTTTGGCCGCGTTTTTGATGCGTTCAAGTAGGGGGAAAAAATGTTTGTTTTTTTTTTGCTGGAGTGGGGCTGTTAGTATGTTAGCTGCAGTGCGTTTTGGATGCGTTTTTTACGCGTTTGTGTTTCCTGACCGTACAAAATGTGACATTCAGTATTTTTCTGTCGTAAGCTGAACGGACTGCGCACGTGAGAACTGTAGCCCATAAAACACATAGGGATACATTGGGATGCATTTTGAGTGCAGGAGCGTACGGATCCGGTCAGCACACAAAACGGACGTCGTGTGAACAGGCACTTAAAGGAATACCGCACTTCCTCAGTAGCTTCCCAATGCAAGCTTTAGAAACATGTTGGGATTATTTTGTCTGGCGTGACACAGTTTGAATTAGTGCCACAACTTGTTTGATGTAATAGAAACACATGTAGATGCATATGATGTATATAATCGGTATGAGCTAGATACAGAGATAGTGATTAGGAAGGTTATTGACCAAATTTTAGCCATACTCAATAAACTGCAACGGTAATTCCGCAATAACCCGTAGCAACCTATGCAACTTCACTCTACCGAAGTCAGACTACTACAAATTGGATTTTGATTGGGTAATATGCTTTTTATTTAAAACTCTATTAAAAATCCATACTAAAAAGAATTCCTTGGCTGCAATTGGTGACCTCCTTCTGGAAATGCTAGCTGCTTGCCTGTTAGGCTAGGTTCACACCGCACGACACCCAGGATGCAGGGCCGGATTTACACTCTCTGCTGCCCCAAGGCCAGGTTCTAGCTTGCCCAAAGTAGGGCTAATTCCACATATGGAATTCCACACCCCTGGTGCCCCTCTACTCCCTGCTGGTTAGCCTTGTGGGAAATCCAGCCCTGCCAGGATGCGCGTCCCGGGATCGCACGTTCCTGAACAATGCAGGCAGCGATTGTCGTGCGGCCCCATTGATTTCAATGAGGTGACATCCACGCGGCAATCACTGAAAATAAAAAACAAGTACCTTCGTTTTGCGATACACGACCCGCGGCACGAGCGGAATCGTGGCGGGAAACCGCGAGATCCACCCGGCGTGACTAGGGTGCCATTAGAAAATAATGGCACCCACAGCGTGATCGGTTCACACCTTGGCGACTCCTGACAGCGCGGCTATCCGCGCGGAATAGTGCACGATTGCAGCGAGGTGAAGTGTCGCCAAGGTGTGTACCTAGCCTTATAGTGATCCTCTGGCTTCAGAGCCTTCCAAGTTGCGGTCATGGAACAAGATCAGAAAAGTCAGAATTGTTTATCTGTAGGAACATTTGCATCGAAGCCAGACGATCAACATGGCAACCAGACGAATGGTATTTTCCGTTTGCTATCTTGCGCAACCTAGCAAAAGCGCTAGCCGTACATCCTCCAGTTTTTGGACTTGTTCACACCATCTCCAGACTGATTCCGGATGCGTTCCACCATATGCGTTTATGCGTGTTTTTGACAAGATCCAGCATGTTCTTTTTTTTTTCTTGGGTTTAATTGTGTTTTGGTGCGTGTACATGCATATTTGTGCATTCAGTTGTGAAAAAAAGCATGCTGCTGTTCTTTTTTAAAAGTTCTGTAACTGAATGCAATGTTGTGAACTAGCCTTGTTTAAAGCCATTGGAATAATGTGTATGCGTTTTTGGTGCAGAAAAAAACCGCACGGTCTGAAGATGGTGTGAACAAGTCCTCATAATGATTTAGGGTCCATTCACACCAGCCGCTGATGCCAAGTACAGTGCTATGCACCAATCCCTGCATATCGCACTGTGTACTTGTTTTTTGTTTGACCTTTTTATTTATTTTTTTACATTATTATATTTATTTATTTTACAAAACAAGAAAAAAACCCCAACAAAACCACACAATGTAACATTCCCATTTAGACCAAGTGGCGTTTCATTCAGTTCACAAAAGGGCCTGAGGTGGTTGTACTGCGTGGCACCCCGCTGCGTTGAAAATAAGTAAGGCACACCACCGTGGTGATGTGAATGGTGCCCATCCATGAGAAGGCAAATTGGCTTTTCTTGTGTTGGAGTAGCCAATAAGATTTCAGCAAATATATTTATATATTCTTGCGTTTACGTGCGTTTGCATGCATTTTTAGAAGTTAAAATTGATTCCTGGACGCACCTGACTTCTATTTTTTATAAATGCACCTAAACTGACCGCATCTAAAGGAATCCAAATGCAAGGTGTGAATAGATCCATTGCAAATCCTTAGAAGCATATACACTGAGTGGCCAGATTATTATGACCACCTCATCAGTACTACGTTGGGCCACGAGATGACTCCACGCGGTGACTTCGTGGGGCCGCCTCGTGACTCCACGAGATGTTGAAAGGTGATGCGAGGAATCTGACACTGCACTGTTGCCCTTCTGTTGTCTTGTACCAGTCTTGCCACTCTCCGTTCTGCCCTAACATTGACTAGTCGCTGACGGCCACAATTCGCACGTTCAGACCCAGATTTTCGGCTGACAGTCCAGTCTTTAAACACTTTAACAACAGCTGCTCTTGAACATTTAACGAATTCTGCTGTTTTGCTGATACTCGCTCCATGGCTCACGCCAACAATCATCCCACGTTCAAAGACTGTTAAATCACGTTGTTTCCCCGTATCTTCAGAAACAAATCACTTCTACTGTCGTGGTAAACAACTTGCTTCTCTATTTATAATGGTCTGGCCCTCTGGCAACTTCAGCGCGAAATTAAAGCTAATTATAGCTAATTTTCCTACAAATGTCAGGTGGTCATAATAAACTGGCCACTCAGTGTATATGTGTTTAGAAAACCATTTTAAACGCATCTAATCGCACCTAGTGTGAATGAAGCCTTAGACCCTGTGCAGATGTTTCGTCAAGTCTAGTATTGTTTTTCTAACTGGCCGCATACATTTGTGTCTTCTTTGTTTTTTATTGAACATTCCAGGAACAGTTTTGAAATTCTATTATGCTCCCGTTTGCTTTAAGATTAGTTGATAGAAAATCAGGGAGAAAAAGTATACATGGTGTGCTTTAAAACCTTTTTTAATTGATTTGACATTTTCCAACCTTTGTTTCAACCTTAAAAAAAGATGGAAAATAATTCTTGATTTGATCCTAAAATGTGATCCTATCGTGTGGAACGATCAGGTTGCGACGCGCGTGGGCACGCTAGCGTGTTGCTGTACCTAGAGGCTGTCAGTCCAGCTGCTGCAGGTGTTTACAATCCAGCCCTGCGTCCCAGCTTCCTGATAGCGCAGGGCTCTGTCTGCCTCCTTTCTCTCCTCCCTCGTCACCTCCCTACTCCTGCCTTCCACACTGCTTTCTCCTTCCCTCTGACGTAAAACAAGGATTCTCTTCTGTGTCTGCTGGGTGAAGGGGAGAGAGAGAGAGAGAGAGGGGCAGACAGGAGAGCAAAAAAAAAAAAACAAGGAAAAGGCGGAGGGGCTGTGCATAACAGAGATGGAGAGGAGAGGGAGGGAGGAAGGAAAATAGAGCAGTGGCGGAAAAGAAAATAGGCCAGCATTAAACCCTCATCTCCTCTTCTCCTACCTCCAGGCTTTGGACCATGTTTCAGGCTGTTTCCTCTGTGCCCTCGGGGTTGCAGGCACTGAATGTGACTCAAAGACCTTGCAGGAGCAGAGTGGCCCAGACTTGTAGAGGAGCCTGAGACAGGTAGGAGGCTCGGCCGCGCCAAAACCAAAAAATTGAGGGGCTTCTTGGCAAGGTGGCGGAGGTGCCAAGCATGTTGTGCTGTCAATTCATTTGCTTTGCTTTATCCTCTGCCCTCCTTGTTCCTCCCACTCTGCCTGCTCTGTCATGCAGTGTCCGTCTGCTTCTGCTCAACACCATCTACTTGTTAAACAACATGAGTGCGGGGGAGAGCGAGCAAGAGCATATAGCGGTGGGGGAAAGAGCTGTACGGTGACTGGGGAAGCATGGAGCGCGGTGAAAGACAGGTGAGACGATAATGTGTACCGCTTTGCCGTCAATATCGCCGCTGAGCAGCCTTCACCGTCTTCCCTCTACTCTTCCTCCTTCTCTTTCGAGCTGTTTTCCTCTCTCTTTCAATCTGTAAAGTGCACCTGTAGTTTTAGTTTAGATAAGAGGCGGAAAGGGTAAGGGGGTAGGGATGTGTAATCTGGCCCCCACTTCCAAGTGCCCTTTTTATTAAAATGGTTCAGCGCTTAGGTCTTTGCACAGGCCTGGAGCGAAAGCCCTTTTTATTGAAACGGTTCACTGCTTAGGTCTTTGCACAGGCCTGCGGCAAATGCCCTTTTAATAAAACGGTTCGTTGCGCAGACTTGGAGCAAATGGCCTGTTGTTAAATGGGTGCATGCCTGTGCACTCAACTGTTTAAATAAAAGGGCATTTGCTGCATGCCTGCGTAAAGAGGGGGCTCCCCCAGGGCCAGTAACATGTCCCCTTTGGCTGCTCTCATCATGTCACCAATTTGGCCATGGATCTGTGCAGCTTTGCAGATCTACGCACCTGTGCAAGTAACTGTACTCCATGTGAAATGACATGTGTTTTTTCATGTCAGGGTTGTTAACCAAAGCATAAAGGGCACTTTTCATTTATTTTGTTGCGTACAAATTATTTTTTGTTATTATGTTATTGTCTGTGGTGCTTACAATACACATTTTTATTATCATCATCATCATACAGGATTTATATAATCCTGCATCAACAGTTTGTGCAGAGCTTTACAATATAAAGGGAGACTGTACAGATAGAATTCAATACAAGAGGGTTAGAAGGGTCCTGCTCATGAGAGCTTACAATTTAAAAGGAACAAGTGATACAAAAGGTAATAACTGTCTGGGGATGGGTTGATGGAGAAAGAAAAAAATTGAGTTGCCATACCGAGGCAGGATAGGCTTTGCTTAAAGGTTGAGTTTTCATGGATTGCCTAAAGGTGGTAAGAGATAGCCGGGCTGACTGCAGCAAGGAGTTCCAGAATATGGGATAGGCTCTGGAGAAGTCCTGGAGGTGAGCACGGGAGGAAGTGATGAGGGGCTTAGAGGAGCAGGAGGTCTTGAGAGGAGCAGAGAGGATGGTTTGGGTGATTATTTTGAGATGAGGCTGGAGATGTAGCCAGAGGCAGAATTGTGGATGGCTTTGTAAGTTGTTGTTAGTATTTTGAATGTCATTGGTTGGGCAAGCGGAAGCCAGTGGAGGGATTGGCAGACACTGAGTGGTTGGTGGATGAGTCTGGCAGCAGCATTCATGATAGGCTGAAGAGAGGATAGTCTGTATAGAGGTAGGCCAATGAGGAGGGAGTTGTAATAATCAAGATGAGAGATAACAAGGGAGAGAATTAATAGCCTGGTGGTTTCCTTGGTTAAGAAGGGGCGTATTTTTGAAATGTTATTGAGGTGAAGGTAAGATTTGTGTAATGATTGGATTCGGGACTGAAAGGAAATGTCATAGTGTAGGATTACACCTAGCAAGTCATGGGAGGTTATCAAGTGGCCAAGGAGGAGGTATAGGTAGATAGAGAGTAGACGGCGTCTAAGGACAGAGCCTTGGTGTACCCCTATGGAAAGAGAAAGAGGAGGGGAAGGAGTTGTAGGTGACACTGAAGGAGCGCTTAGATCGGTAGGAGAACCAGGAAGAGAAGAGTTTTGGTGGCCAAGGGAGTGGAGTTTTTTTAGGAGAAGAGGGTAGTCAACTGTATCAAAATTAGCAGACAGGTCTAATAATATGAGTATGGAGTATTGGAGTATTGGCCCTTTGGTTTTAGCAGTTAGCAAGTTGTTAGTGAGTTTTAGTAAGGCAGTTTCTGTGGAGTGCAGGTGAGAACCATACTGTAAGAGGTCAAGAAGGTTGTATTCAATGATCACACGGTTGTAGACTAGGTGTTCTAGAAGTTTAGAAGTGAATGGGAACATGGGAGGTGGTCCTTTTTATGATCAATCTGTAGCATTTTATATGTAAAACTCTCTTTAAAAAATAATTGTGCAGCTTTTGCCCCATAAAATGTTTCTGGCTTCTGGCTAACATTAGTGACTTTCTACGAGATGTACATTGAGTACAGAAAATGAAGCCATTTTTAGAGTCCATTCATTAACGACTCAAGCTTTCAAAGGTCAAAAGGTGTTATGAAAAGAAATATTGATTGTATATCTGTGCAATGTTTTTGTAAGTGAATTGACTAATTTATAGACATGTGCATTCGGATTCGGGCGAATCTGCAAATCAACGAAATTCAGTTGATTCGGCGGTTCATCCGAATCCGAAATAACGAATTTATTATATGCCCGAATATACTAAAACTATATCCAGGGATCCATAAATTTGTTTCCATATTGCACGCAGGCACGCAACCATCTTTCAGTATATCTTGGTATACACCAAGATGGCACGCCCAAACATACGGGTGCCGCCATCTTGGTGTATACCAAGATACACGCAAAGATGGCGGTGCGCAAGCGGAGAACTGATGTGGCCGCTGCTCGTTCTGCATTTTCAGTGTGGCGTCACACGCTGAACGAGGGGTTGGCTATATCAGCCACCAGTGCGTTTTGCGCAGGCGTGCCGCCATCTTTGAGTATATCTTGATATACACCAAAATTGCAGCACCTGTATGTTCGGGCACCGCCATCTTGGTGTAGACCAAAATACACTGAATGATGGCAGCACGCAAGCGCAGAACGTGCTTTCGGCCAATGTGGCCACCGCTCGTTCTGCATTTTCAGTGTGCGGTTTCGGATTCGGATGCTTGTTGCCTCCGAATCCGAAACAGCAGAAAAATTTGTTTTTATTGGTGAAATGAATGGAAAGGTTATTCGTTTTCATTTGTTTCAGCGGAAAACTAATTTTCAACTAAATTAAAGTCCAAATTAACTTTCCGTTTAAATCAGCTATATACATTCCAGGTTCTTCAAAACAAAAGGTGTGTAACGTCCTAATGTTTGTGTTATCTTTAAATAGCAGTCACAGCCTGAGTAGAAAAGCCTGTATCCTGCTAGCATACTGCAGAGAAGGATCCTTGCTCCGCACTGCAAGCTGAAACTGCTTGATTTTCTCTAGGGGCAATAGTAAGGAAGATATAATCGCTCAATCCTACAGCATTGACCACTCACCTCTCCCCCTCCGCTCTGGTTGTGGTATGTCCCTCGGTGTCTTCTAGACAATGGCATCACGGATCCTTAGATCGCCTGGGCCTGAGGGGGAGAAGAGGTTGTGGGGACCAGTCTAGCAGGACCGAGGATCGGATGAGTATATCTTCTTTATTTTCGCCCCCTAGACAAAACGAGCAGACAACCCTTGCAGTGCGGGGGTAGCCCACTGCAAGGGTTAACTTTTCAGATTCCTGGCGTTCCTCTTTAGACTGAAAGTTCCATGAGCCTTTAAAATAACTTACGCAGCTAATTTGTTCTATACTAAAACACTTGTATAAAGGTGGCTATACACTGTACAACCATCGCAAGACCTTAGCCTTGCGATGGTTGTAAAGTTACATAGTATTTGAGGTTGAAAAAAGACATTAGTCCATCAAGTCCAAAGTGATAAAAAAAACATACGATCTGCCCATCTTGGACAGGCAGATCGCACTCTCGATCATCGCAAGCCTGCCCCCCTGAGGGGCGGGCTTCCGATGACCGCAATGCTGAATGGGCTGTGTGCGCGTGCGCACACCGGCCCGTTCGGCACTTGTCTCCCGAGCACCGTTCTAACCAGCCGAAAATCGTACGATTCCCGGCTGGTTTTCTAGCGTGCTCCTTAGACAAAAGACGTGCGACCGTACAGTAGAAACGGTCGCACGTCTTCGTTCACACTGTTCGATTCTCGTACGATCGTGGGATTTCCCGCGATTCTCGTCCGAGAATCGAGCAGTGTATGGGCACCTTAAGTAAGATATGAAACTTGATTGAATGATGAATTGGTCGTTGGTGATGTTTTAAAATGACTCCCATCTCAGCCATCAGGTGAGCCAGAAACACAGATGATTCCTTATTGAGGGATCCTTTAAGGTGGCCATACACTCTACAACCATCGCAAGACTTTAGTCTTGCGATGGTTGTACAGGGATTAAAAAAACGTACGATCTGCCTATCTTGGACAGGCAGATCGCACTCTCAATCATCGCAAGCCCGCCCCCCTGAGGGACGGGCTTCCGATGACCGCAATGCTGAACGGGCAGTGTGCGCATGCGCACACCGGCCCGTTCAGCATTTATCTTCCGAGCACCGTTCTAACCAGCCGAGAATCGTACGATTCCCGGCTGGTTTTCGAACATGCTGGTTCGACAGAAGACGTGCGACCGTACAGTAGAAACGGTCGCACGTCTCCGTTCACACTGCTCGATTATCGTACGAAAAACCGATCGCATACGATTATCGTACGATAATCGTGCAGTGTATGGGCACCTTTACACTTGTCCCTGTGTGTTAAGACACGTGAAGATGTTTTTTCTTGTGCACAACAATGTGCAATACATTTAGTGTGTTGTCATTCATTCTTAAAGTGACGCTAAACTCAGGAAAAAAATGTAGCTTACCTCTGGAGGGCGGCTACTTTCGACCCCATGGTCCCTGTGTGTGTTGTAAAGTAGCCACCGCTCCAAGCTCGCTCCCGAGATGGACTACAATCTCACATCTAGTTTATTCATTTGTATTGAGATGATAGCCGATAATGGAGCGAGCTTGGAGCGGTGACTACTTTACAACACACACAGGGACCGTGGGGAACAAAAGTAGCCACCCTCCAGAATGAAGGACAGTGTGAGCTCCAATTCAGAGATGACTTCAGGATCTAGAGCTGAGTGATACACATATAAGCAACATTTTTGTTAATAGTTAATGTACTTTAATACATTTTTACATTTCTGTAATTTCTTCACCTCCTGAGTCTAGTGTCACTTTAATGCTCCCTAACACACATATACAGTGTACAGAAACTCAGCTGCCTTTCATCACACCAAAACGCACAGATATGAAGGTACTATACGTTTTGAGGTGCTGCATTGGCCATAAATAGTGCAGGCACATTTTCCATGTATTGAGGCTCTTTAATGGCCCATTCAAAGTGAATCTTCTGCCTCAAGGCAACATGCCTCAGTGCACAAAAAACTCCCCATTGTAAAACGTGTACGAACAAGTGTTCAGAAGCCTTTGGAGTTTCCTTTACCGCTTTGGTTGTAAGCTCTTGAGGACACTTTTGTTGTTGTTGTCTGTTACATTATGTTAAACCTTGTACGTTTCTTCTGTAATTTCTTCAACTTGTGAAGCTCTGTGGAATACATAGGTGCTGCAAAAATAGTTGTAATAATACATTATAGTGTATATAAACTCAAAACCAAGTTTTCAGTATGGCACCATGTCTCACTATAAAAAAATTTCCTTAGCCAATTTTTTTTCAATCTTTTGCAAAGTTTCTTATCTGGAGATCCTGCCAGTAACAGTTCCTGTGGGGTACATTTCTTCAGTTGACCACTAGGCTGCTTATCATGCCTGGACAACTAACATAAGGCAGGGTGTCCTTGCCGCAGCTAAGCCAGGCAGTGGTTTAGTGTTGTCAGCCTGCTACAGGAAGTGCTCCTTCAGGTGAGAAACAGATTCACACAAAACAGTTGGCTTGAGAATACTGTATACAATGAGACATGATGACAAACATACTGAAAAATAGGTTTAAGGTTTGCATACACTAAGTTTTATAAGCATGACAAGAAAAGAAAAAAAACTCTTAATGGTTAAAGGAGAACTATGGGGTCAGTGTTTTTCCCCATAGTTCTCCTTAGGGTAACGGTAGGACACATAGCGTCCTCCCGTTACCCTAAGCTCAGTATACCGCGAGCTACAGCTCGCAGTATACTGAGACGCCGGAGCGGATCCCGACGTAGATGGCGGGATCCGCCCAGCTGCGTGAGTGACAGCTGGCTCTGCCTATCTAGAGGCAGAGCCAGCTGTACCCGCCCCCTCCCCCGTCCGTTCCGCCAGTCAGCGCTGGCAGATCGGAGCGGGGAGAGGGGAATCCAGCCCCTCCCCCTGTCACGGCAGAGAGCCATTACAGGATCGAGAGGTGAGCGAACCCGGTATGTGTTCGCTCACCTCCCGATCTACTGAGCCGACCTGTGACAGTCTCATTGTCACAGGTCGGCTAGAACTATGAGGTGAGTGGAAATCACTCATCTCATAGTTCTCCTTTAAGCTGTGGGCTGTGCTTACTAGAAATTATATATTCAATAGGATTCTAATCTGAAACACATTTTTTAGGTCTCCAAACAATGGTGAGTTATTAGCTGGAGTTCCAGGAGAAGCACACAGAGTCTCTATATTTTAAAAACAGGCTAGCGATGGCAGCTCCCTTAAGGTGCCCATATACTGTACGATTATCGTACGAGAATCGAGGGAAATCCGGCGATCGTACGATAATCGCAAAGTGTATGGAAGGCGTGCAACCGTTTCTACTGTACGGTTGCACGTCTTCCGTCGAACAAGCAGGCTGGAAAACCCGGCCAGAATCGTACGATTCTCGGCGGGTTAGTGGCCTGCTTGTTCGACAACTGCCGAACGGGCCGGTGTGCGCATGCAGCATTGAAGTCATCCATGATCGCAAGTACGATCTGCCTGTCCAAGATTGGCAGATCGTACGTTTCTGTAATTACTTTACAACCTTCGCAAGACAAAAGTCTTGCGAGGGTTGTAAAGTGTATGGCCACCTTTACCCTTTCCCTTGTCGAACAAGCAGGCCACTGTTCGACGGAAGACGTGCGACCGTACAGTAGAAACGGTCGCACGCCTTCCATACACTTTGCGATTATTGTAGGATCGCGGGATTTCCTGCGATTTTTGTACGATAATCGTACAGTGTATGGGCACCTTTACAGGTCCACTTTATAACACACCTGATCTGTGGGTTTGGGTCGACACCACAAGATATGTTCTTTCACTTCATTAGCCATAAAAACCTCCTCTGTGCCTCATATACTTAATCAATTAGCTGTTTACCCACAGATCAGCTTTAAGCCCATTCCCTAGTGTAGTTGGGATCACTTTCTATACCAGAGGTGGCAAACTGCAAGTCCCATGAGTTACAGGCATGACTTCCAGAAGCAGAGGCATGTTGGGATTTTTAGTTAAATCACGGAGTTGCCCACCACTATTCCTTATCATTTAAGCACCAGCTACATTGTATATGGCATCTGTACGGAATTTAGGGTGTGGAAAAGCTTGGTGTCATTAACTAGTGCTGATCGGTAAAATCTCTGGTGCCCAACCCGTGGCCAAAATTGATGTGGCCCTTTGCTACTTACTGTCTGTATCAGGCAGCAGTCAGTGTTGTCCCTGTCTAGTGAAGGAAAGTGATTTACTATACTGTCTTCTACTAATATAAGGTTTGGTTTATTTCAATTGCACATTTGAACTTTTTCTGGGCTGCCTGTTTCCTTTTTTCTCTCTTTAGTATATATTTTTTTCCACCTCTGACCTCTAATAGATTTTTCCAAGAAGAATCAAATCTAATCTAGCATCCATAGTTATCAAGGGGGCTATAAAGAACTAGCTGCCACCACCAGGGCCTTCCCTATAATGAGGCAGCCTGATGCGGTTGCCTAAGGTGGCATTCCATTGGGGATGGCTGGTTGAGGGAGGGGTAAGGGGGTGGCCACAGCATCCCGACTCTAAGCAACATGTGATGCTCTGTAAGGCTTCCAGCCCAGCTCTCTGACATCACCATTTGCTGAGAGCTGAGCAGGATGCTCTGGCTGGCGTCCTCCTGAGCTCCCGGCAACCAGTGACATCAGTGATCTGAGCAGGAACCACGGACAGATCCACTGACAGCTCAGTCCAGCATCCCGCCACCCCGGAATGACAGGTTCAAGCGGTGAGGACAGCCCTGCCCACCCTGCATGACTTAGTTTCTCCATTAGGAAAGGTTATAGCATCTTCTAGAATCTAGATGTATGATGTTTTTGGTCTGCTTTTGTCCTGTATGTTTGCTTGTTACCATGGCAGCATTAGAAAAGACAGAATTGGGTATAACTGGCTTACATGTCATTTGACAATGAGAAAGACCTAAAAGAGGCTCTAACCCTTCCTGGTCTTTATCTAAAATTAACTGAAACGTTTTGCCTGGAGCTGGCATTGGAAGGGCTACTGACCAGCTTTGATCTCATCCTTGTAAAATACCATAAAACCTCTATAAATAAGAAGTGGCACTCTCTGCCTTTTACATCATTCACATCATTCATTCACCATTAGAGCATATAATGCCCTTTGGTACTACAGGTGCACTTTTACTCCATCTCATTTTCATGTTTAACGCATCTAACACCTCTAATGTCTATTGTCAGTTTGGGGTTCCCCTCTACCCACCCTGTCCTATGTGTTTCCGTCGGACTGATGGTCTTCTCTCTCACAGAGATGGATCCTTCCGGCACGCTCTGGCAGTTTCTCCTGCAGCTGCTGGAGGAGCAAAGCCACCGACATCTCATCTCCTGGACCTCCAACGATGGCGAGTTCAAACTCTTGGATGCGGAGGAGGTGGCACGACTCTGGGGCCTGCGGAAAAACAAAACCAACATGAACTACGACAAGCTAAGCCGAGCTTTGAGATACTACTATGATAAGGTGAGGTATATTGAGTGGTCTTGTACATATTTATTTATTTTATTTATTTATTATGTCAAATAATTTGTATATAACCCTGAATGACCAGCACCACACCCCTGATTAATTGAATAAGGAAAAAGTGTTTTGGTGGGGCTTTTTAGGTGCTAAGTGACAGAGCCAAAGAAATATTTACATCAAGATCATATAAAAATGTATTTTTTATAACATGAGTAAAACTAGTGAAAATAAAAACATAAAACTTGTTACAATATTTCGTTCACATTCTGATTGCTTTCTTTGATGCATTGGATTGTATACCTCCAAATACCACCCCCTTTATCTTACTCCAACAAACTTGAATTGACCGCATAATGTCTGTCTGTAGTCATATATTATGATGTTGGTTCTTCTCTTTGTTGATGGTTGGAGTGGTATTAATTCTACGCGTTCACGCATAGTGCGCTTCTTCAAGAACTCAGTGTTGGAGGAAAATCAGATTAGGAAGCAATCAACGGATAGAGAAGGCATCGGACCATAGGTCTCACCTTTTGTTTAGGTATTTTCAAGGGTCAGCATCCTCGGTCATGTAAATCCTGGTGTCTGTGCAGTCCTTGACCGATCAGCCCCTACTGCAGTCTCTCATTTTCTGAGTGTAGTACAGAAATTTTTTTTGCCAGAAATATACCTTCCTAACTGCCATGACAGCACAGCTCTGAATTCCTAAGCATGTGGTGTCAGCAGGGCCTGACTTCCCAGAAGGCCAATGAGTCCCGACTGCGGGACAGCAGGGGTGTGGAATTCCTATTACCCCGATGCCCGGCACATGCAGTTCAGGGCGGGTAATTTTTTTCTACAATGTAGAGCGTGGGAAGCTGCAGCTCATTTTGTCCTCCCCTGCCGCCCCCCTTCTTGGTCCACCCAAACCTCTGGCTGCATCTGTCCCCGCTGGCCGCCTCCTGGTTCCCCGCCGTGTTTTTCGAGGTCCTCCGATCTCTTGAGGGACCCAGGACCATGGCACATTCGTTAAGGATGGAGAGCGGGGAGCAGAGCAGAGAACGTCCGTTCTTTGCTCTGATGCATTTGAACACTGAGACAGGAGAGCTGCACTCACAGCCTTACTATCTCAGCTGTCACAGGAGAGCCAGCACAGTGCTGTGCTCAAACTCTTGTATTGGAGGTGACAGGTTCAACAAAGAGCTTGTTGACACTTGTGTGATAGCAATAAAGTTAAGTAAAAAAAATAAAATAAAATGTTTTAAAAATTGATAAAAAGTAAAAAAAATTATAAAATAAATACAAATTAAAAAAAGTCAAAGATAATAAATAAAAAAAAATAAAAAACAAAAAAGTGATAAAGTAAAATAATAAAATAAAATATTTTTTTAAAAAGATAATAAGATAAATAAAAATGACAGCCAGCAGCCTGAGATGCCGCAGCGACCCAGGCGGCCCGCACGGCATCAGGGGTATGTCCTGGCCGGGCCCCCCTGTGCCCCGGGCCCCATAGCAGCCGCCTGGGTCGCTATGGTGATTGTTAAAATGACAGCCAGCAGCCTGAAATGCCGCAGCGACCCAGGCGGCCCGCACGGCATCAGGGGTATGTCCTGGCCGGGCTCCCCTGTGCCCCGGGCCCCATAGCAGCCGCCTGGGTCGCTATGGTGATTGTTAAGCCACTGAAGGTACCACTCTCTTGTATCTGTATTTCCCATTTTTTTCTTCTACATTATGTCTCATTAATGTGGGAAGTGTGACAATATCATTTGGCCCAGTGATGGATGTGGCAGTTAAATGGAATAAGAGTTTTGGTGAGGAAATATCTTCATTTTAGTCTCCTAGAGAAACAGGAAACATTTCATTTCACTTGCCAACAACCCTGAAAATGTCAGTAACGTGTGGATTAGGGCTCTAAAACACTTGGTGAATAAAGTACTGTTATCTGACTGAACAATGAAGTTTGTTATTTTGTTATTCTCTAAGATGCAAATATTGAGACCGCCTTTTGCAAAGGTCTTGACTTGTACTGCATCAATCATGAACAATTACGGACATCTTTAACTGTTTTGTTTTTTTCTTCAGAACATTATAAAGAAAGTAAGTGGGCAAAAGTTTGTGTATAAGTTTGTGTGTTATCCGGATCCCTGCAGTGGAGAGGCCTCCAAGGATGATGGAAAAAGTAGGGAATCTGTGAATGAACTAGCTCAGTCACTCAAGCCTGGAGACAGCTCCCTGTATATCCCTAAGATGGTGAGGAGCAGCCCCAAGACAAGCCGCAATGAGTACATGAGATCTGGCCTGTATTCCACCTTCACCATCCAATCCCTGCAAGCCCCACCCACCTCGCAGCCCAGGACTAGCAAGTTGGAAACCTTGCCTCCAGCTGAAGCTCCTCCCCTGCAGGAGGCCAGGAGTCAGAGCATTGACATTCCACATTATGAGTCCATGGATCAGAGTGACACAGATCTTTCTCTGGAGGTCAACATCCACAGCTCCAAAGAACTTCAGTTACATGTAATTTCTACATATTATTTCATATATTGTTATTACTCTACTGATTTCACATTTTAAGGGGTGTTCTAGTTAAAGTGCAATTCCGGGCAACAATACAAATCAAATTTGTAAGCTGTTAATTCTATTCAGGAAACATTGCCAGGGTGATAAAGCCAGAAAGGACACTAAGCTTGCCTAGAGTTTGGGTTTTATAAAATACTTTGCACCCAGGTTTAACAGTCTTCTCACACTGATTCTCGGCTGGACTGCAGCCCATTGGGTTTTTTTTTATACTGTGTATGTGTGAGTGGGGATACATGTGTGTGTGAGTGGGGGTGCATTGGGTTTAGACAGTGGTTGGCGCTAAAACTTTGGGCAATTTTAATTAGAATATTAGATTAATGATCTCTAAATGAGTTTTAATGGAAACCTTCATTGTTCAGTGTTTGTTTGTTACATAAGTTTAATTTAAAATATCTCTGCGATAACATGTCAGGGTCTCCTTATTTAGCTAGTTATGCAAACCTGCTAAAATATAATTGAGTTTTCTTTTCTGGTTGGGCGCACAGCCTTTCTCATATACAACAAATGCTCAAGGTCAGCAAGTCTATACATTCAATTTCACATCTGTGGATTTTGGTGTAGCCCTTCATACTATACCACCCTGGGAACAGTGCCTTCTAGTGAAAATAGATTTTTGCAATGGGCTCATTTAACATTTAAACAAAGATGGCCATGTGCAGCCATTTGTGTCATGATTCAAGCATCACTTGTTGCTTTCATCCACACTGCATGTTTAAAACAAGACCCCAGCCAAACATTTTGCATCTACCATGACCATGTACGACTTACTATGTCACTACGACAGAATCATTACAGCTTCCTTCAATGGAGCTCTCCTTTGCTGGTGAGATGGTATCTAGGGTGAGGGGTTGGGTTGGCTGTGAGAGCACTCCAAATCATCCATACAGAAAAAAGATAAATAATTAAATAATTAAAATAATAGTTTAGGTATTTATAGGCCCCCTATCAGGCCCATTCTTTTTCTATATTGTGGTAAAATTAGGAGTCTTTAAAGGAGATTTTTGAATTTGCATATCATTGTCATCTCAAATATGAATATATCTATACCAGGAAAAAATATTTAGCTTCTGTAATACAAGGAGCAAGCTATAAAGAGAATAGGCATAGTATAGTGTATACTGTGACACAATCAGTTTGTATTATATTGCACAATGCTGCGAATCTGACATGTTTCAGCCAGGCACTGGGAGTTGTAACAGTAAATAATAGTGCCACTCTTCTAGCTGTACAGCGAGGCAGAGCTGTGCAAATAACATGACTGGCTAAACAGTTTTCCATTTTTTTTGTCAGGTAAAACAGTTGACAGAAATCTATTTTGTATGTATATAGTTATTGTACTGGGGTTCTACTTAAAGTAACACTAAACTTGGGAGTTAGATCTTAAAAATGCAATCAAGTACCTTAACTATTAACAAAAATGTATCTTATTTGTGTATCACTAAGCTGTAGCTCCTAAGATCATCTCTGAATTGGTGCTGACACTGTCCTTCCTTCTGACGGGTGGCTACTTTTGCTCCCGGTGGTCCCCGTGTGTGTTGTACAGTAGCCACCGCTCCAAGCTCACTCCTGTGATGGTCTACAATCTCAATACAAATTAGTATATTAAACGTGAGATTATAGTCCATCATGGGAGCGAGCTTGGAGCGTTGGCTACTTTACAACACACACATGGAACAAAATTAGCCACCCTCCAGAAGGAGTGACAGTGTCAGCACCAATTCAGGGATGACTTGAGGATCTACAGCCAAGTGATACACTTTTAGGATACACTTTTTGTTAATAGTTAAGGTACTTGAATACAGTTTTAAGATTTAACTCCCAAGTTTAGTGTCACTTTAAAGTATGTTTAAAAATGTTAGCAGATCTTAATTTGTAAAACAATATCCATTACACTGGAGCTCTTCTTTAAATAATTATTAATAAGAAAAATAATGATTGCCACTGTGCTTTCAGTTTTCCTTGGGGCACTGACACATGTTATCATTGCATATTTTCCCATAGGTCACAGTGGACCCCCCAACTCCTGATATCAAAGTGGAGGATCCTCTTGAAGATGCATCCACTGATGTGGAAGACCTCTCTGAGCCCCAGGTCTTTCTGGCATCTCTTCCTGAGATAAAGACTACGAGCTCAGAACAGCCACTGGCTCAGGAGATCTTGGTGGTCATCAACTCTCCGGAGAAGGACGAAGTGAAAGCCAAGGATGATCTTCAGGAAGAAGAGAAGAAAGAGAAGGCGTCTGCAGCAGTTACGTCACAGGAAGGACATCCCGTTAAAGGGAAGAAGCCAAAAGACCTGGAAATCCCCTTCTCCACTGTGATTGGACAGGAAAAGATGAATGCTGCTGTTAACTCTTTGTTGGCTCCTGGGAGCGCATCATCAGTCATTACTTCTCATTCGCTGGTGAGTGAAACACAAAACAGAACTTGATAGCTGTGTTTGCTGCAGGCCAGAAACAGGCAGTGATATCAGATTGTTCTGTACTATAAGTGCTGGCTGGATGGACTCACAAGGAGTTACAGTTTTGCCTGCCTTTCTAAAACCTATACTTTTGCTAGTAAAGAGTATAGGTATATTTAGTATATAAGAAATATTTACTGTAGGGCTGCAACAACTAATCGACATAATCGATTATAATCGATTATTGAAAAAGTTGTCAACTTTTTCAATAATCGATTAATCGGCTTCCGATCAGTTGGCCCTTCTCACAGCTCCACGCATGCAGATTCATCACAGGCAGCATTATATTTAATAATTAAGCCTGGCTGTACTTAGGTCTGTAACATCTGCTTTCCTAACTCATATCCCAAACCGCATGAGGTTTCATATCATGGGTTGCCAAATATCAGGAAAAGTTTGCAGCAGGCAGTACTGTCAGTATACTTTGTGCTATCAGTGCTGCCTGGATCAACTTCCAAGGAGTTACAAAAAAATATATCCAGGAGTTTCAGAAGTAAGCAGCCCCAACTGTATATATCAGCACTGCCTGACTGGACCTATAGAGGTCTTCAGTGCTGCTTTCCCAACCCCCTATGCAAACCCCATGCTGTGGCAAGAAATTCCCTCTTAGACAGCAGAAAGCAGCACCATTTTTTTGTACCACTACTGCTGCCTGACTAGGCTTAAGGAAATTAGAACCCTGTGCTTTCCTCACCCTATCTGAACCATCAAACTGTTGTAAGCTGCAGTGGATAGCAGTAGACAGCACTATCAGCCGTGCTTGAATGGACTTACAAAGGGTCGCTGTGTAGCTCACCCCTCCCAACATCTGTTGTCTTTCTAGGACAGAGTATTTAAAAAAGGTTTACATTCTCTTATTGGGTATCTTATGCAAGAAAGACCTTGTTTAGGGAAAAATATACCCACTAGTTTGTTCAATATGGCTGGAAATAGAAGAGCAGATGTCTCACCAAATATGATGAAAAAGGAGACATCTGCCTACCCTCTGCATTGGCTCACTCATCCGGCAGAGAAGGCACACATACATGGTTCACACCTTTCTTTCCTCTCCCCATTGAAAAGAGGGGATTTGCCTGCTGATACAGAGATTTCACAGCAGGTTGTAAAATCTTTATGACTAATAATGACTGATTGTGATGGATCAGCATTCTCATTATCGTCCCCTAGGTTAGCTCCAGGTGGCTTCACCTATCCGTGCTATGGAGTGTTGAACCAGAGGCAGGATCTGACTTTTTATAGCCGACGAATTAGTACCAATGATGTGCAGTGTCTAAAGCAGCCAGTCAGGTTGCAATAGTCTGGAACCAGAGCAGTACAGATCTTCTCTGATTGGATGCTATAGGTTACTGCACTTTTCGCCTTGCCCTTATGAAAAAAGCCAGAATGACTCATAGCTGGTAGGTCAAGCTAAAGTTCCCTTTCATTAAATGTCAATTAACTTGAAAGTCCTTTTAATCTTTGTGTTTTCAGACTCCTCTGCTGCTCACCCCAAGCTCCCTGCCTCCTTCCATCCACTTCTGGAGTACGCTCAGCCCAATTGCTCCCAGGAGTCCAGCCAAGCTGTCCTTCCAGGTAATACTTTGCTTCAAGAAAGGTTGATGAAGTACATGAAGAAAAAAAAATCTTATATTTGAATCTACCAGCTGTACCAAACTAGATGTTTTGTCTATCAAGTGTAGAAGCTGTCAATACAGCCCACTAGCATTGCATTAACTGTTATTATATCTTATTATTATCTTTCAAGGACTCATATTCTGATAGGAAACCTATGCTGAATGAAATACGAAGGAGGCCACTGATAAACTCCCCTTCTAATAATGCCAGCGCCCTGGCTGTATTACAGAATACAGCTTCTGTACATCCCCAGTCCCTGTCCTGATAAGGAGTTCAGACAATACTGCTGTATCCTTGTTCCAGGTCGGTGACTCCGAAAGTACTTAAGTCAGAGACAGCCCAGAAACTAGCTGTTTTAAAAAGAAGTCCGTATTGTCAGCCTCTATATTTACCTTAGTGATTAAACTTTCACATTTTTACTTGCTGCTCCATATTTTGGTTATTGCAATCTTTATATAGATCCGTAAACCATCATCTAATTATCCTTTTCATAACAAGAAAGTTGTAGTCCTCTATAGCCGTTATCATTCTGCATTGATATATAAAGTGTAGCTGGGAGTTGTAGTCCTCTATAACTGGTACCATTCTGCATTTGTGGATAAAGTGTTGCTGAGAGTTGTAGTCTTCTATAGCCATTATCATTCTGCATTGATATATAAAGTGTAGCTGGGAGTTGTAGTCCTCTACAACTGGTGTCATTCTGCATTTTTGGATACATTTTCCTTTATGTTTACATTGCTTTATGGTAATATTGTAAAAGTTGTTAATATTTATTTTTGTAACTTTATTCTGAATAAAACATTTAACAATGTAATTTCATAACATAATTTAAGAGGGCATGTTTAGGGGTGGAGTTAAGCCAGTGGCAGTGTAGGGGTTAGGTGGGGCAACTGGTGGCGAGTAACTTTTAAGGCCTGGCTAGTAGCTCAAGACTTGAAATTTTGAGCCCTGCCCTACTCTATCCCAAACTAAAAAAAAAAAACCTTGGCTTTAGGTTTACTTAAAGTAGAACTCCTGATGAAACTTTTTTTGTTGTTTGTTGTGGAGTGGAAAACCTCTGTTAGATTTTGTGCCAGCCTTTATACATTTATGCAGTATGGACATAATATCTACCTGCTTGACATAGATATGGGACAAACAAGAGACATTATGTTTCTGTTTCCTGTAAGGAATGTTATTTCTCACATCTACCCCTCTGTGAAAGAGCAGAAATTGCATATTTCATATGAATACCGGTAATTCCAATGACCCAAAATCTCTTGAATTGCAGTTCCCAGCCAACGGAAACAGCCAGATCCATGTTCCAACTCTCAGTGTTGATGGGCTGTCCACCCCTGTTGTGCTATCTCCTGGACCTCAGAAGCCATAAGGAACTCATAGAGCTGTGACGTCTTAAGACTTTTTGAAGACACAATGTTTATCTCTTAACGCACCAACACCCATGCGGCCTGCCTTGGGATCTTTGATCGCTTTTTGTCTGCGTTATCTGTTGAAAGAGATGTAATTTTTGTGTTGAAACACCTGCTCGGACACACTCTGCCTTTCCCTTGAGATATGACTCTACATCATCCGTGATGTAGGCTTGAATGCATCCTGTCAAACAGAAGAGGAAGACCTTTCGTATTATAATACGGAGCATGGATGTCCACGCACTCCCGAACCTTTTGACCAAGAAAAGGTTCTTCTACAGGGGTCTGCAAATCCAGTACAGATCCAGTGTATACTGGGAGCTTGCAGTGACAAACAACAACGGATGTTATTATAGAGCACAGTTATATTGCAAATCATGTGACAACGTGACTCTAGGTCAAGGGACGAGATGTCTTTTTGTGACACAAAGACGGAGATCACAGGAGTTTTGGGTTGAGAGGTTATTATTTTTCTTTCCTGGTGGTTAAGGAAATATCCACCAATGTTTAAAAACTTCTCTCTCAAGAAATATCGTTTGAAGGCCACAAAATACACTGGATGTATAATGTGCTCAGCTTCCTAAAGAGAATGCAGTTTGAAAAAAATTTTTGTTAAACCAAACTTACAGAGCCTCCATTTCCTCTATATTCACAGAGAATATTTTATAGCAGACGTTTCTTCAAGTTTTGCTTTCAATGAGCAGCACAAGATATTTTTTTGAAAGACTAACAAAAGTGAGTCCTTTCCAAGCACAGGAGGGGTTAGAAATCTTAATGTCCTATGCCTGCTGAGAGAATGAACAAAGAAGAAAAAGGAGTTTAGGGAAAATTTCATTTCAGATGAAGCCTGTCTTTTTTTCAGATGTTTCCATATGGAGAACAAGCCCAAAGATGATTAGAATCGAAAAAGAGATTTGGCAGGTTAAAGAGAAACCAAAAGAAAGACTTTTAAAAGAGAATGTGATGGAATCTTTGAGGAAATGTTCAAGGTTTCAAGTGATTATAAAGTTGGCAAATACATAACGGCTGACTGTCAGGATATAAGATGGCTGAAAGAACATACTCCTGAAAAGAGGATGAATGCCACGAAGCTACGGGAATGTTGCTTGCCTCCAAAGCAGGAAGGATTAACTTCATGGGAGGCGTGACATCTTCTTTTGGAATATATGAAAATGTTTATTTAATACTTAGCACAGATGACCTACTGGCATTTTCCTGGGTGTGATTTTGCTAGGAAGACAAATCTTTTGTTCTTGGGGTTGTAAAATCTATGTAATATCCATAATGTGATTCCAGAACACCAAGCCTATCACACATTAGAAGTTGTCACCTCATCTTCTTGTTAAGCAGCAATAGATTTAGCTGCAAAAAGAGACTAAATTTAGACCTTGTGTTACCATCCATATTTTTTTCTTTTTTTTTACTGAAATGTTTGACTGTCTCTGCACTGACTTTTAGGGTGCCATTTGCCTCTGTAGGGCAGATGGATAGCAGGTTCATTCATGCACTTTTTTAGCTGTCACGTGTAGATATTGCTAAAGGCCTAAAATAGGTTATTTTAAAGGGACAGCCCACCCAATACAGATATTTCAGTATTTGGTAGATGCTGGTGAGCTACATCATTCACTGTTTTTTTTGTTTTAATATTTGGAGAGACCTCCATATCATGGTTCCAAGCTCTGCTTTCCCCAGCTTTAAAGTCCTGTTGTTCAGGGGAGTCCACACTACAACATATTCAGAGCAGATTAAAATTCTAACAGGAAAAGTAAGTGGAGCAGAAAACTTGTCATCAGAATCCCTGAGGAATATTAAAAAAAGAGTAGACTTGACCCATTGAAGCATAAGTCCACCTAAACACTTTATAAAGAGCTGCAATTGAAAATGTTGCAGTGCTATCCCTATCACCTAATTTAGCACACAAAAAAACTCTCTTCTCTGTGCCTCTCACATTGTCCATGGCTTTTGCTGCCCATTGCCTCCCTAAAATCCATAGTCATTGCTCTGTGCTGGGTTGCTTCCAACTCTTCCTAAAGCACCTTCTACCACCCTCACTCTTTCTCATATAACCATGATCACCCCACTATGACTTTATCCAATCCTGCCACCCTACCCTCCCACTTCTGGCACTCTGCACCCCCTCCAGCTCTTCAGACCATCTCTAGAAACCTCTAGTCACAATGCCCCCTCTAGTGATTTTTTACCCTCATCCTCCCCTTCCATCAGTACCCCCTTCCCTCATCCTGCGCCCCGTCACCCCCGTACTGTAACCCTGTACCCCCTCCACTTCTGCAGACCATCTGCACCTGCCTGCAGTCCTCCTTCCCTTACCATCCACCATGCCTGCACCCTTATTCACTCAGCACCCACCACACTTGCACCCACATTCATTCAGTACCCATTGCCCTTGCACCCCTCGTGCCTGCAGCCCTACTTGTCTCAGTACTCATTGCACTTGCAGCACTAATTGCAGCTGTAGCCCCCTTCTCTCATCACCCACTGTGTCACACCATCCTTTTTTTTTTTTACCACCCACCACACTTGCAGCCCCAATTCTCTCAGCACCTGCGGTGTCATGGAGCCTGTTGTCCCCGTCTCCGGGCCTCCATTCACCCTTCTCTCTGCAACCACTGCGATGCACCCCCTCCACAAAACTGCACTTGAACCCCCTCTCTCCACTGCACTGCCCCACCCCCCAGTCTCACCAGCATGCTTGCAACCTGCCCTTTCTCTCCACAGCGCCTGCAGTTCATGCTCCCTGAGCCTACTGTTGACAGATGAGGTAAAGAACCCTTCAAATTGGGTCTAATGAGCTACTGTAACTGGTACAGGTACTTTACCTTAATCTACTGCACAGACTTGCACCCAGCTTGTTAGCTGGCTGAGGCAGAATGTAAAGAGGAACCTTCTCAATGGGCATGCAGCAAAATAAATAAGAATATGTTTTTATTAGTAGATTGAAGAGAGTTTGGAACCTTTGTCAGATTTTACTGCGGTTTTTGTCCCTGTTAGAGATAATTCCTTTTCACTTTTCACTTCCTGTCCACCAAGACAGGAAACAAGGATACATTTCTAAATGGGGACAGAGACAGCAATAAAACCCCTACGGTTGTTCTGACCCTTCCCCTATCCTAAGCAAACAAAAAGGATTTGGCTGGAATTTCAAGGCAAAGAGCACTGTGCGAGGTAATGTGTAACACGTACCAACCAATCAAGCTTTACTGTTTCCTGTTTAATAACAGTAATCTGAAATCCAATTGGTTGCTTTGTATTCAGCTTGTGCACATAGCCCGTTCCAGTGATTTAAGGCTCTTTGTTAAAGGTCAACTTTCTCCAAAAGCAACATTTTCAATTTTGTGTGCTTACTAGCAAGCTGAACCATGCGCTGCCCCTTTACATCACTCTGCTGCTTCAGTGGCAAGATTTCCCCACTGCAACCACTGGTTCTGTCAAACTGCTGCACTGGATTCTCTTGGTGTAGAATACCTTTTACCATGCCTTTACCCTTTTTTAGGGTTTTTAACCTGTTTTTACATACATTCATATTGGCTGATATGGGGGAATAAAAGCAAAGCACAAATATATAAAATTTACCTTGATCTCAAAAGCCCATGTTCACTAACCCTTTTATCTGGCCATAGACGCAATATGATCATTGTCCAGTTTTACAAAAAGAATCATAGGGTGGCCATCCTTGTAGGTCCGTGGACACCTTTATGGCATTGTGGGAGGAGACAAGAACAAAAACCAACACTGGGGAGATCTTGCTTTTGAAGTTCCTGAGGGATGTGACCAGCTGGCAGGTAATTTGAAAAACTGAAATATAAATGAGTATATTAATACTATCCGGTTGTTGACACTTTCTAGAAAATTCCTAATTTCTTAATTACTGGTATGATCCATGATGTTTATAAATGAATTTGTCACTTTGTTAATTATTGTAATAATCACTGTATAGTTTGGCTTTATCTGTAGGTTAGTTTACAATTGGTTGGCAACCACAAATCCCTACAGTTCCTATATATGCCTCCTCATTCAATCCTGTTATCTTTTTTGCAGAACGTAGTTCCTACTATGCTGCTTTGTACTTTCTGTATGTATATAATCTTATATTTGTTGTGTACCCCTCCTCCCCTTTCTTTAGCCAATCACGGAAGAGTATCACATTCCCTCTTGGTGATCAAGATCACCTATTCCAAAGATCTCCTCAGGAATGTTCCACAGATGCCAGAAAGAGGGGGAGCACAGGAACACCTCTTCTCTATTGACTTTTCAGGGTAACTTTTTGTTTGTGTGTTTTATTTCTGGGAGCGTGTGCTATCTGAGGCTCCCCCTCTATATTCCTAAGGCCTTTCTCTTAATCGCAAGGGCGTCTTGTCCTTTGAAAGGGCTTCTGGGAAAAAAACTTTTACTAAGTAGAGTGGCCCGTACATGCTTGTGTTAACGGGGTCACAAGTTGGTTTTTCCAGCGTTTTCTTCAGCTGATGTTCATCTGATGTTCTACTGTAGTCTTTGCTGCTGACTTCTCCAAGCACAACTGGTGGGGCTGGATCAGGCACGAAGCAGGCTAAGCCTTTGTCTAAGGGTGTCAGAAGGTGTGCCTATTCATATTTTGACCATAGGCTGACTACGTATATAACGTTTGTTCGCTTTAATTGGGTCTAGAAAGAATCACAACATTTATCTATGAGACATGACTAATGTTTAGTGTGCAAAAGAGGTGTGTTCTACTAGACAAAAGAGTGCTTACCTGTCACCTTTTAAGGTAGACATTTCTACAATCATTTGGATGCAAGCTGTGGCATTTTCTAAGATGCTTTATTAGCAAACCAATAACTGATCAGAGTTACAGTGACAATTGGCTGGCTCCATGGTTGAAAGTTTGGCCTACAGTTTCTGTTTTAGGTCATCCCCACTATATATACCTGTATTTGACTCTAAAGCTACCAGTCAGACTCTTCACTCCTCCAAAATTTAGAGATGTCAGGCTTGGGAAAAGAGCAGGGATAGGCGTAGGGGGTGTTG